TTTCTTCCTTTCTTCCTTTCTTCCTTTCTTCCTTTCTTCCTTTCTTCTCTTTCTTCTCTTTCTTTTCTTTCTTTTCTTTCTTTTCTTTTCTTTGCTTTGCTTTGCTTCGCTTTGCTTGTCTTGTCTTGTTTTTTCTTTTCTGTCTTTTCTTTTCTTTGCTTTGCTTTGCTTGTCTTGTCTTGTCTTTTCTTTTCTTTGCTTTGCTTTGCTTGTCTTGTCTTTTCTTTTCTTTTCTTTTCTTGTCTTTCTTTCCTTCCTTTCTTTCTTTCTGTCTGTCTGTCTGTCTTTCTGTCTGTCTGTCTGTCTTTCTTTCTTTTCTTTTCTTTTCTTTTCTTTTCTTTTCTTTTCTTTTCTTTTCTTTCTTTTTTTTCTTTTTTTTCTTTTTTTTCTTTTTTTTCTTTTTTCTTTTTTCTTTTTTCTTTTTTCTTTTTTCTTTTTTCTTTTTTCTTTTTTCTTTTTTCTTTTTTCTTTTCTTTTCTTTTCTTTTCTTTTCTTTCTTTCTTTCTTTCTTTCTTTCTTTCTTTCTCTCTCTCTCTCTCTCTCAAGCCACTTTGCCATCCAGCAGAGAGTGAAGGAGCTCAGCCTGCTTATTAAGTGTGAGGGCGCGGCGGCCTCCGCCGCCAAGCCAGGATGCGCTCCCCACCCAGCTCCGATCCTGCCAGCTTCGATCGATCCTGCCAGTGGAAGAGCGAGGGTCCCGGACAAAAACCAACCCCCGCCCCAGGACAGTATACTAATACTGAGGAGCCTCATCTGTAGACCCCACATGGGCAAGCAAACCTGCAAGCCGCAAACCCCAGCCTTGTCATCTTCAGCTGGCCGTCGGGGCGGGGAAGGTGACCAGCCCTGAGTGTCGGTCCACGATCCGCTCCAAGACGAGTCACGCTAAGAGTCGTTCCAGGATGAGTCTCTGCTCCACCAAGCAGCCATGATGGGGCTACACGGAGGAGATGTTAAACAACAAACTTGCAACTGGACATGTCATTTGTTGCAGCGTGGCTTTGTGAGAACGAACGAGTTGCCACGCGGGGTTCCACAATATCTTTTTGATATGGATCTCTCTCACGTTGGCGCTGCCACGAAATCTCCACTTCGAGGCTCACCCAAAGCGCTGCGCCTGCCACGAAATCTGTACTTCGAGTTCACCAAGCGCGGCGCCTGCCACGAAATCTGCACTTTGAGGTTCACAAAGCGCTGCGCCTGCCCCGAAATCCGCACTTCCAGGTTCAGAAAATGCTGCGTCTGCCACGAAATCTGCCCTTCGCCTGCCACGGAATCTGCACTTCGAGGTTCACAAAGCGCTGTTCCTGTCTCGAAATCTGCACATCGAGGTTCACAAAAAGCTGCGCCCGTCAAGAAATCTGCACTTCGAGGTTCACAAAGCGCTGTGCCTGCCACGAAATCTGCGCGTCGAGGTTCAGAAGCGCTGCGCCTGCCACGAAATCTGCACATCGAGGTTGCAGTTCACAACGCGCTGCGCCTGTCACGAAATCTGCGCGTCGAGGTTCACAAAGCGCAGTATATGCCACGAAATCTGCACATCGAGGTTGACAAAGCGCTGCGCCTGTCACGAAATCTGCACGTCGAGGTTCACAAAGCGCTGTACCTGCCACGAAATCTGCAAACGAGCCACATGTCAAAAAGCACGATTCATTGCACCTGTCACGAAATCAGAGCACCTCGAAGATCACGACCGTGTCCAAAGTACTGAGCCTGCTACGAAATCTGCATTTCGAAGTACAACCACTCCAATCCCACGCACCTGTCACGAAAAGTCGACTTTGGACCACCAAAACACAAGGTTTCCTGCGCCTGCGACGAAAAGTCACCACCATGTGCGAAAATGCGCGCGCCGCCACAACGAGAGCGCAGTCGCTAGAAGCGCCCGCCGCCGGCGCCCAGATTTTTCGAGCCTGCGCAGTCGAAATGCACTTCGAGGATGTCGAGAGGCATGACAGCTGCTTTACTACTACCGTATAAGAACCCCTAAGTGTGTCCACACTGTTTGGGGATAACAGAGCTAACAGAACCAAACATGTCCACACTGTTTGGGGAATAACAGAGCAAACAGAACCAAACAGAACTTTTCACAGCACATGTGAAAACTCTGAAAGATTGCAGTTGCTGGCATGTGTGTGTGTGTGTGCGTCTGCCCCGTTTCCAGGAGTTTCTCCTCTCGCTTCTAAACAAGCAGGGGGACGGGTCACCGAAGAGAGCATCATTCGGTGCTGACACAGTAGAGGACGCTCCACTGTGTACCTGCACGACTACCTCGACCTATAGGATAACAGAACGAAATGGTTCTCGGCGTACTGTGTACGTCGGCTCCTTTCCTTCTGTTTTTACTCTAATGGTGAAGATGAGCTCATGGACATCCATTGGTTCCTTTCCCATGACGGGTTCAATCTTGAAGTGGCTGAGCACAATCTCAGGTTCCTCCTCAAGGACGAACAACATAGGGTCATTTTGCTCAGCACTTTCATAGTCCAAGAGGTTCAGCACATAGTGACCCTTCTTGCCACGAGAAGGATTGAACCATTCGGATTGAGCCACTTTCATGGAACCAGTTGCATAGTCCTGTTTAACTTCCCATTTTTCCAACAGTGGTCTTGCCAAAAGAAAAGGAGTGTTGCCCGGCACGATGGAGACGGTCACAGGAAGTCGTTGACCTTTGACCAAGGCATTGAAGTTGATCTCGTACGAAGATTCCAAAGTTTCTCCACCTCCGAACTCGAAAGATCTTCGTAGAGCATTGGTCGTCATGGGACCGAGGATTTTTGGGTTGTACTTCTCAACCCATTCTTTCCAAACTTCTTCCCCCACCAAAGTCCTCGTTGCTCCAGAATCAACGATGGCATGACCAGGAGTGAGAGTTGCGAAGTAATTTTCTTCTTGAAGACATTCTTCAGCTTCTTGATCTTCCGCAATGGTCACTTCTTCACCTCCAAGCTCTTTCACACCTTGGGATTGCACACGATATCGTTTGAATCTTGGACCATGCTGAGAAGTTGAACCTGACAAGGTAGAGCGACTTTCAGAAGATCCGGTAGAGGTCGAGGTAGTAGGCTTTCGAAGACCATGCATAAGCCGTCTTGGAAAGAATGGCTTGCCTTTCCCTTTTCCTTTTGACCCCTTTCCTTTTGAGGATGTTCCTTTTCCTTTTGAACTTCCTTTTCCGGCTCCTTTGTGACTTCTGCCGGAATCATAGTCTGGTCCGATGGCCACAATGGGGTAGAATCCACGAGCCAAAGCCAGTTCTTTCATTCTTTTTCGCGACTCCAGGTAGGTAAGAACAGGTCGTCCTTGTAGCTTTTGCTTGGAGGACTGATGTCTTTGGCGTTGGGCTTATGGTCACCACCAAACATACGAAGGAGAGCGCGATGCACATTATCGTAGTTCAGCTCTCCACAGCACAAAGCTTTCACTTGCACATGTGTCCATTTGGGAGTGCCGGATCGAGTGAGAAGATGCCAACCTGCAAGCAAAGGAGGGATCTCAATCTTCACTTCACGAAGTTTCTTGAGGGCGGTGCGATGCCTAATGAGGTAGGCTTGTAGCTCCTCTCCTTTCTGGCGATTGAAGGACTGGAAGAACTCTTCACATGATTCACATCTATAGGGAACCTCAATCTGCTCCTCATACTGGAAAAGCTGGTCCATCATACGCAGCACAGGCTCAAATGGGGTAGAGCTCGAGGTGATCTCTCGAAGATCAAGCTGTTCTGCTGCGTCCCACGCGGTGTCCTTCGACAAGCTAACAACAAGTAAAGCTCCCTCCACTTCAGCGTCTTGTGAACGACGTCTGCACTGAAGCGAGTAAAGCTCAAGTCGACGCCTGTAGCTCCTGTAGGTGCTTTGAGTCAAACCATCGGCAGAAGTGGCTGCTTTAGCAAGGCCGCTGTCTAAACCACGGTTGTTTCCATAGTTGGCTCCACCACCGGAACTGTTAGGTCTCGTTGGTGAGGGAGGTACAGGAACGTCAGGAGGAGCTCGTTCTTCATCAACAACTTCATCTCTTCTTTCTCTTTGTCTTCTTTGCTGACCACTCATTTGTGACTTCAGCCGAACACGATCTTTGAGATGATCGTACCCTTACCGGCAAGGATGACCCCGTAGGTGACTTCAAACAAAAAGTAGCACCCTTGACAAAGGCCGGGAGGAGCGTGTCCGGCTCCGCTACCAATCTCAAACACTTTGACTCACGAAGTCCAAAGCAAACCAACCAAATGAAGCGCTCTGCGGCGATGTTTCCTCGCGATGGAGGCGGTGTCGTCGCCTGTCGACTCAAGGGCCCTCCGGGGGCACGGGTTTGGACATTGAGAATTGCGGATGGCGAAATGCATCCTGACAAAGCATGAAAATCAATTGCATTCACAATCTGAGATAGCTGGATTGACAATTATATTATATTATATATATATATTGGTTTTTTATATGTATATATTTGTATATACGTAACTTTGTACTATATCTATATACAGTATGTATCTTGTCATATCTTCTCTTCTTGTCTCTCTTTTCGTTCGATTAAAATTCAAATCCCTCTGAGGTGCCAACGATCCTGTGCAGACTTTGGGCTCAAGGGCACCGTCGGCTCCGCTGGAGCAGGTGATTCCGACTCTGCGGGTTCACCGTGTTCACCCGCATCCTTTTCAGCTTCAGCCGCTTCCTGAAGAAGGGAGCTCAAACAGCTTTCAGGAAGCTCCGTCTGCACTGTAAGCCAGCTTTCATACAGCAATTTGCTCCCTTTTTGTAGAGAAAAGCATGAATTTGACGTCCCATTTGCCCCTCAAATGCCACCAGTGTCAACAAGGAAGCCCCTCACAGATCCAGAGCCATCCTTGTGGTCTGTCACCTCTTCTGAAGCGTCTTGCGCAATCTCACTGGAAGCTGGAGCATCACTTTGCTGTGGCTGCATGCCTGCAGGTCCAACTATGTGAGATAATCCTCCAGCTGTTGAAACCACTGCCCACCTACTTGAACTCACAAGGTGTTGTACATCCATTCAAAATACCTGTCCGGTCCAACCCACAAAGCACTGGCCTGGCTCTGAGGTTCCATTCGGGACCTGTCAAGCGTTTTCTGCGGGCATCGAAGCACAACAAGTGGATGGCCTATTGTTTGGCAAAAATACCATGACATACCCACACACGTACGCACACCAAACACATCTGTTTGATGATGTCTGACGAATCTGTTGCTTCCTTGAAGATTCCTTTTGGTTTTGTTCCCGTGTACTCCTTCTTGCTTTGCTGTCGTCTCTTCTTTCTGGGCGGTTTTTCGCCAATGGAGTTGTAGCGAACTTGAACCATGAAAAATTATGTTCCAAACTCTCACGGGAATATATTTGGCCATGCAAGTCTCCCGCTCCCTTCTGGCCTGCTCTGCTTCCTCCTCCTCATCATCGCTTGGAAGCTCCATGTCATTTTTCTCCTATGGACAGTGCAAAATATGTATTGATCAGCAACTGGCACATTCCACGATGATACATTGCATACAAATAAAGAATGTTTGTGCCCAGAACAACGTGCGAGGGATCAAACAAAACAAAAATAGCATCAACAGAAACATATTCCCAGCGAGCAATGAAAGATAAAAGAGACAAGAAACGTTTGTATATAAGTGCCTTCCTATCGCCTCCAGCTGTTTGGGAGGATGCAGGCAAAGTAACTGATCCGCGATCCGTGATCCCCACCCCGAGAGGCGATTTGGAAGGCAGGGCGTATTGACAGAGCCTGACAAAGGCGGACATGCGGCGCATTCCCCCCAGAGCGAGCAATAAACAGCCACCAGACTCAGAAGGCACCAGATTCAATAGATCGTCACGGAAAACTACACACCCCATTGCCCCAATGAAGGGCACCCAGAAAGTGACACAAGGACCAAGGCAACCGGCGGGAAGCTTTTTTGTTTGGCAGATCGCAACCCCCCCGCGCTGACCACGAGGCCAGCGGACCAGGAAAAGGACCAGGAGACCAATGGACTAGGGGATCTATATACTCAGGACTACTTTTTGGTTGCTCCTGTCTTTTTTGTTTGATATACTGTTCCTTTTTATCTAGATGCCCAAAAACACAGACAACTGAACACCCTTGCATGGCTTTCTCTCCTGCAGCTCTTCAATGACCTCCTGTGATATATCCTCCAGACTTGCCAAGTTCACAGAGTACCTGAATCCATGGAGAACACCCAGACCAGCAGTGTGTCAGGAAACTTCGTTGGAGCAGTCAAGCAAAGACTGCTACGGCAGAAATGGGCTTCAGCAATGTAAAGCATGCATTGGGCTCACTTCTTGGAAAGATGTTCCTGACATGCGCACGCTTTGTTCGATAAGATCTGAAACTGGTCAGTTTCAAGCCCCTCACAAGCCTTTTGAAAAAAAAAAGCATCTATTCAGATCTTCCGGACAGTTCAACCAAAATTGGTTCAATCAATGATAATTATTGAATGTCCAAACGTCCATTGGAACAACAAGACTTGCCTGCTGATGCCGAAGGACGGCAATCTCCTGCTCATAGAGTCGTCGGTCAGTGATGCTCAACGATTTGCAGAGATCCTGGAAACCATGCAGAACCAGGTTCGAGGACATGACACTCATGACAACTTCTGGGAACGAAAGGTTAGGGTGGTGCAACAAAAAGTGCAGAAATTCCGAGAGCACCGAACAGAAGAGAAAACAAAAATGCTTGCAAAAGGCGGTATGACTCGTGTGGCTAACCTCCACCCGCAACCCAAAAGGAGCACCGGACTCTGTGGCAAAAGGAACTTTAGCTGGCTATTATTGCTAGATGCTGGCCTTCCTTGTTTCAACGCTTGGCTTTCTACAAACTACCTGGATAATCCAACCTCACAAATAAAAGTGTGATTTTTAAGCTGACATGTCAACCTGAGTCACAATCTGCTCTGGTCAAGTTGAGTTTCAATTTTTTTAATAAGACAGGAAGCCAGCCTCGAGGTCTTTAACCTGATGTCTCAACACCTCACATTGCACTTGGGAAAATCTTGTATAGATCTTCAAGGGAATGGAAATGGTGGCAATGACATTTTCGAGAGTCGGCTTCTCACCATTGGCAAACCGTGAAAAAGTTTGAGGTGTCGACTCGAAGCTCTTCGATCGCACAAGTCTCTTCGACTTTCAAAAGCTCAGCCTGGCGTGTTCTTCCCTTGTCCGCTCGGTCTCTGCTATTCCCTTGCAATCTCTGGGTGTCTGGCCTCTGCCTCCTGCTCAGCTTGCCTGCAAGTGGCCAGTTCCTCCCTGGCCCCTTGAAGTCCAGCCTCATTAATTCAGACGAGTTCCAGAATCAGCTGAGAAACATAAGCTCCAGCTGTCAGCTGTAGCATTCTATGCTGTCCAGCCTGCAGAGTCTCAAGCTTTGCCTCGAGAGTCTTCTTTTCTTCGTCCCGCCTTTTTGGTGACTTGATAATCTCTGACTTGTTAATCAGGCACTGACTTGCAAAATGTCACATGGGAAAATTTCAGTGCCTGCGGATTTCCTCGGTGAGGCGGCCGGCCTCAACCACTTAGCAATTGGTGGCCATTCAAGTGAAGGACAACTCGATCCTTTCAGCCCCTTGTGGCTTCAACTACCTGGGAAAAGCCTTTACATCCGCTACTTGCGAAACGTGCGCTTGAGTTTCTGGATAAAAAGAAAGAAGGTGTGTTGAGCCGCTTTACTAAGGCCCCCTTTCGGCCTTATTGAAGGGGCCCAACTACCTTTCATTTTTGGCCTCAAGAAACTGTTACCGTTTGTCTCGGTTTTGCCTCCTTGAAGCTTCTTGACGTCACAGCCAACTTCTTCTCGGCCTCACAGACAAGGTTCGAGCAGCCCAGAACCCACCAAAAGAACTGCTCTGAAAGGGAAAAGAAAATATGAGACTGGAGGTGTGGCCTGGAGATAGGTGTTATATCTGTAAAAGTAAACCATCTGCTTTGATTTTATGACAGATAGGTCCAAGGTCCTGCGATCGTGTGTGATCGTTTTCAAGGTCAAAGGCCCCATTCTGACGTGACATGCAACATGAAGCAGGCAGTTGGCACTTCGTAGTCGACTCAGTTTGCAAGACAACACAACGCACTCAGCGCTATTGGCCTTCTTAACAAGTATTGTTGTCTGGAGACCTATAAAAAGATCTGCTTTCCTCTCAAGTTGCAATCATGGCTGACCGCGCAGTGTGACTCTCACCAAGCACCTCTAGCTTTGGAAGCATCTCCACGTGTATGTCAATCTGGCTTCGTAGCTTTGCAGCCTCTGCCTGAATCTCAGTGGCAAGTCGATGCAATCCTTGCCAAAAAGCCTGCACCTGCCATCTCCTGTCACTTCTAGGGCTACTTTCAACTCATGGAGTATTACTCTATCCTGAGCAAGGACCCGGACTTTTTGTGGAAGGTGATAAAAAGCTCATGGAATTCTTCTGCCAAATGCTGTTTGTCATGACAAACATTGGACATCTCTTTATTGATATTTATACTGTGTTCAATGACCTATCCCAGAAAGTGGCCTCTTGGCCAGCAGAAGCAGAAGAGAGCTCCACACACTTCTGCGTGGCGCTTTCCCACTTGCTCCGAGCCTGCCAAACGCCCAAAAAATATAGAGGTGGACGTCTCACGAACAAGAGAAACTGCTAGGTATAATTTCACTCAAAGAAACATCGCAGCGTCATGAAACACTCTTGCGTTACCGTGTACATGAGGTCAAGGACACAGTCAGGTAGATTGGATGAAAGTCCAAGTTTTGACCCCCACTATGTGAAACTACAGTAATCTATGATCTATGCATAGAACCTTGAAGCCGCTGACTTCGTCGTGAGCCTGGCTCAAGGAATGTCGATGGGGCTCCATCAGCTTTTGCCAAACCACGCGCCGCTGGATGACTTCAGCCAGGAACCACCTGCGTTGCACACTGGACTTCATGCCTGGAGTGATGTGTTGGCATGGGTTATTGGTTCCAACGTTTCTTTCAGTGGTTCTTTCTCTCTCTCAACTGTCCAATACTGTGCCCAATATAGACCAACCAATGCTGTGCCGGAACCAAAGTTCTCACCCAAAATCGCCTTTGCCGTCGCAAGGACTTTGATGTCCTTTGAATCTCTTTCATCTGGAATTGATGCCTGGCTCCTTGGCCCTCCAAAGCCTCACAGCACATGAAAGACGACGAAGACCTGCACCCACATGAAAGACAAAGAGAATCCTGACCTCGCGCTCCTTCTTCAGCTCCAACTCCATCTGGGACACCTCTTTTGCTGTGCGCTGTCCACCAAAGCAGTGTCATCCCATGAACTTGCTGCGCCTGTTGAGTATCCAACTCCATCTCTTTTTGGGCTTCTTCAAGCCTTTTTTGCTTGCCTTAAAAAGGAGGGAGTAAATCAGTCTAGCTTGTCCAAATTCGAGAATCGCTTTCCAGCCTTCCAGCCGTCCAAGCTGCTTCTCAAACTTGTTTCTGGGAGCGGCAAGCAATGCTATAAAAAGGGAAACGTCTGTTGAACAATCCTTGTGAATATATGTGAATATCAGCAAAGGTTTCCGTATATACAGGTTTAAAACGGTTTAAATAGAAATAGTAGACTCGACCTATTCTTGTTGCGCAGTTCACCGCTGACCTGTTTTAAACTGGGTCTCGGTTAAAATGACTTTTGGAGTACGCATACGCTCGAATCACAACTTTGACAAAACCATTATCAATGAAAGACACAAACCCGACGCACCTAATACACGCGATTTTAATGTCACGGGAGTCAATGTCCTGATCAATGCATGGCAGTCTTGCAGTTGAATGCTGCTAGAATTTGCAGACGGTATATACAAGGTGTCTACTCATGGAAGTTGCACATGCCTGCGTCAATCTTTTTCGCTGCTCCATCTTCTCAGCAAGCGACCTGTAGATCTTGTGATTTCACCCGACAATAGTCCAAGACAAAAAAGCCTCAATGATATGTCTTGCTATTTCTCACTTGACCAAACTCAATGGGAAGCCTTTCCAGCTCCTTGATCTCTTCGTCCAGTTTCTCTCGTTCAGAGACTGATTTATCCCTCTCCTTAGACCAGAAAGCACCTCTTCGATGCCAAGGAGAGCCTAGCTGTGCCTCCGACTTGGGAAAAAATATCTCGGCAACAGACCCCAAACAGTGTATAATAGTGTATCCAAAGGCCTATATGGTCTAGAGTCTAGAGGTGTAGAAACAGAAGGTCTAGAGATCTAAACGTTGGGTTCCAGGGCAATTTGATGGTGGTGACGATGGTGCCGACGGTGGCGGTGATGATGGTGTTGGTGTTGGTGATGGTGATGGTGTTGGTGTTGGTGTTTTGGTTTGTGCTGGTGTTGGTGGTGTCGGTGGTGTCGGTGGTGTTGGTGTTGGTGTTGGTGTTGGTGTTGGTGTTGGTGTTGTTGGTGGTGGTGGTGGCGAGGAAGTGGTGAGGAAGTGGTGAAGAAGTGGTGGAGAAGTGGTGGAGAAGTGGTGGAGAAGTGGTGGAGAAGTGGTGGAGAAGTGGTGGAGAGGTGGTGGTGGAGAAGTGGTGGAGAGGTGGTGGTGAAGTGGTGGAGAGGTGGTGGTGGAGAAGTGGTGGAGAGGTGGTGGTGGAGAAGTGGT